TAGGCTTTTTGTAGCTTCCAGGTCTCTGTTTTACCAGACCGTGCACCCCTTTGATGGAGGCACCAGGTAGACAGAGGTGGGACTGGACTCCAGCATAGGTCCTCCCAGGAGGCCAATGGCGGGCTAAGAACAGACTACGTTGAATGGGAATAAAATGAATTCAAGGGAAGGCCTACAATAACTTCATCAAACTTAGCTTCTCCTATTCTCCCTTCTTCTGTCTGCTCTTTCCCTTCAGTCTTCTGTCTTTTCTTTCCTTCGCTTTCTCCTTCTGTACCCCCTTGTGTTTTTCCTCTTTTTTTTTCTGGCTTCTTTATACTCCTTCTTCCTTCTGTGGGAGCTTATACCAGCTCCAAGGACGCCTGCCCCTTTTCCTCTGTTGTATCTCTTTCCCCTGGGCCACATCTTTGAGGCATTTGTATCTACGTCCAACTAAAAGCATCGGCTTGTTACCCAAAGACACAATGGTTTGCTTTGGAGAATTTAGCCAGGTGGATAAGATTGACAAATGAGGTCACAGAAGGAAGAAAACCTTGGCAATCTGCAGACCTACACTATCAATTGGCTGTAAAACCCAGACAAGGTCCTTGGGTAGAAATGCTAGTTAAGAGTCCTCCTAAAAATAAGAGGAGATAATAAGCATGTAAGCACAGTATTGAAGCTCTGCCCTCAAGAGGAGGTGTTTGTTTGCAAGGCAGGGGCACCTGGGTGGTTCAGTGGGTTAAAGCGTCTGCCTTTGGCTCAGGTCATGATCCCAGGGTCCTGGGATTGAGCCCCACACTGGGCTCTCTGCTCAGCAGGGAGCCTGCTTCTCCCCCCACTGCCTGCTTCTCTGCCTACTTGTGATCTCTGTCAAATAAATAAATGAATAAATAAATAAATAATCTTAAAAAAAAAAAGATGCAAGGCATCCTGGCCCCAGAATATGCCTGAACACACACATTTCTACCCCTGCGGGAGGGGAGACATGCACTTCACCCCATGTGGTGGGGATGCAGAGCCTCTGGGGACCTCCAGCACCTTCTCAGTGCTGCTCGAGGGTCCCACAGCCCCTCCCTCAGCCCCTGGGAGATGGGAGGCAGGTTCACACAGCCTGTTGCCCACTGTTCTGCCACTGCTCCTCAGCGAGAATTAAATGAGGGGTAGGGGTGATCTGTAAGTCCTAGTTCCCCACAGGGGCCCTAGGACCCCTTAGTAACAGGGTGGAGGATCCACCCTGTTTCACAAAAGAAACACACATAAGTGGCCAAGAGTCCTGAAGCCAAATGGGATCAATGTGATTTTCCTCTGTGTCCAGTGATTTTTTTTTTAATAACAGGAATTTGGATTAGGCGTATAAACAGTTTCAAGCCCAAAGGAGACACTTGTCAGTCGTGTTAAAACTCCAGTCACCTGACACAGACACCAGTCCAAACATCTCTCTGGTGTCCTTGTCCCTGGAAGTGTTGTCTATCATGGTTGACTACTGAAGGGAGAAATGAAGAGAGAAATGAAATCATCTGCTGTGCTTCAGGCTATCAGGACCTGCTCACTGCTCTACTGGGGATGCAGGGGGGCCTGCGGAAATTCTGTTTTTGCATTGAGATGGAGAACTGGCTGGGCTTTAAGGATGATCTAATCCAACCCTCTCGCTTTACAGCAAGGGTGGGGGGGGGGTGAGGCTCAGAGAGACCAAATGATGTGTGTAAAATCACAGAATTGAAGGCAAAACTGTGAGTAGAGCTCAGTGACTTCCCTACAGATATGGCCTTTGCTATAGCTCATGGTCTAATCCTGGTTCTATGTATCCCCCAGCAGTCTTTACACCAAAACAACCAGAGCACTCAGCGGACCCCAGACCCAAGTTACTGTCAGGGAGGTACCACTGCAGTGGGGACAATGGCACCTGGAGGGGGTGCGTTGGCACTGGTGGGCCCCATCAGTGGTGCTGAGCAAGGCAGTGTGGAAGGGGAAAATCCTGCAAGGGCTGTCTGTTCCACCAGGGTTCCAAGAATAAATGACCATCCTTTCTACAAAGCAGGCTGGAAGCTCTAGATCCTGGCGAATGATGGCCACCTCTGTATGCCAGCAAAGAATAAATAACAGCTCTTCCTTCCCAACAAATCCTCAAAAAGCCCAGTCTTTCCCCAGAACTCTGGTCCCCAGTGCTGCACACCCTTGTTGTGTTTGCCACTCCATACGTAATTGAAGTGCCTTAAGGACGTATAAATAATCTTTTTCTATTTAATCTTCAAGGCTGGAGTCCTGAGTGGGTCACTGTTCTTCCTCATCCCCGAGTCGAGCCGTGGAGACCGCCAGGGCAGCCACCAGACATAATGGTTCAGCAGGGCCCATGTCAATGCTTGCACAGTAGTGTGTTAATGAATGTTGAAACTGACATCGCAAATACAGCTTTCTCAATTTTGCAAATTACAACTCTGTAACAAGTCATGCTGTTAAAACATATAAGAAATACCAGTTAAGCCTTCAAGTAGATAACACACAGCCTGTACAGATCACTGCTATCCCAAAGTGCAGAACAAATCATTTTCTTGGAAATGAGGTGAGAATTAGCAGGTAGTTCAATTATCTGAGTACTAAGAGAAGTAGAAATAACAGATCCAAATGTTAAATACCAATTACTACCTTAGGAGCTTCGAATCAGCTCAGCATTACAACACACCCCTCCTCAGGAGCAAACCCAGGAAATGAGGGCATTTGGGCAGAAAACACAAATATATAACCAATGTCCATGCATTAAAGACACAGGGTCACTTCCAACTGGCACTTTTGAAATGCTCCTCACGTATATTGTCAGAAGGGCCTGGTCTGTACATGTGTCCCAGTGGCATTGAAAATAACAACCTTTCAATTCTGGGAGTGAAGGGGCTCTGAAGCCAGAGCTGGAAATAAATGATCTGAAGCTTCTATTGTGTCCCCCTAAAGGAGGTTTATGGGTCACTCTGACAGCCTGGTGGCCAAAGATGTCACCTCATAATTGTATTCTTAACTCCAGAAACAGAGCATAAAATTAACCTGATCCTCCCTGACTAGTTTCAGAGACCAGAAGACACTGCCACATAAGATGTCACCTGGACAGAGCCCAATGGAGAGCTTGGGAACTCCATACCTTGATGGTACTTTGAAGGAAAGGAAGGTTATTCCTCCCTAGGCCACTTTCAGGCACCATCCTTTGTGGGAATTAACTCCAGGGTTCAAGCCAGCTGGGTTGTTCTCTCTCCCTCTGATCTGAAACCACCACTTGGAGAAGTTGATGCTATTAGCAACTTCTCACTCTCAGAAGTGACCAAAGTTTATATTGTGTACAAGTGTATAAATATGTACAAGAGATGTTAAAAAGACAGTCTCTAAAGCACTTTGGGATTCCCCCAATGAAAGGCACCAAATAAATGCAAGTCATTACTAAAATGGAAAGTCAAGTTTTCTAGCTTTCGTATCGGCGAAGAGTAACCACTAGGGGTTATCTCTTTTTTTGGTGGTAAAACCTGCCTATTGAGAAAAATACTCATCAGAATGACTGAGTTATTCTGCCTCCTCCCTTTGTTTCAGCTTATCACAAACTACCATGCTCAGTGACCCGAGAACCCTGATCCTTGCCAAACTGAACAGTCCCCACAAGTTTGTACCCTTGCTGGCCCATAGTGCAGCTGGAGATAATCTCATAAATTCTCTGCCATCCAGTGCTGGAAACATGAGCTAAACCTAGGGCTCCACGTGCACCATGTGCAAATTCTAAAAAACAACCCTGCTCTTCTGACTGGCAGCCAGTTGCCCCCACGTCATCTCACCTTTCCTGATTCATCTACAAAGAGATGTGGACGGTAGACCACCAAGCACTGGGAGAGGCCACCTCCCTGCCCCCACCCCCATGAAGCTCCAGTCTCATGGAAGAATTTGACCTGGAGACTCAAGGGGGTAGGGGACCAGTGCGTTCCTCCAACCAATTGCCCACTCTGTAGAAGCCACAGCAACTATAAGTAACAAAGCCTTCTGACAAGACCCTGAGGTATATGTTTCCTTCTACCAGCATAGACACAAAATAGACCTCTGTAGAGAAGGCCCAAACCTTGGATAAAAAGCCTGCCTAATCCCTCACCTAGACCCCTGGATTCAGCACCCTTTCCAAAGCCCAAACAATCATGGAAGCCAATTGACGAGCCACCCGATTACCTGGAGAAGTACGTCACAAAGGGCCCTGGGTTCCGTTCACCTTATTGTGGGCTAGTTTGACTGAAGAAGAGGAGAGAGGGCACTGTGGAGAAGGAAAGGGTTCTCAACGTTCAACCCAAGTTTGGAAATATAAAAATGTAAAAGTCTTTCAAGGAGCACTAAGCTTTTCAAGAAGTTTGTGACTGACAACATTTTGCGAAGTAACAGTATTGTGTTTTACAACTCTCTCCTTGCTTCTGGCCTCAACCCACCCTCTCCTGACAAGAGGTCATTGAAGTGGAAGTAAGCACTGCAGTATTTCCACCCCAGAAGCCACTCAGACGTCACTCATGCATGTCTCTGTTTTGAGCACACACTTCCACACTGCCGGGTTTCCATGTCATACCAGGAACTCCAGGGCAATGAGAGCATCATATATAACCCACTGTATCCTAGAAGCAAAATGACCCAGGTAAATTCTGCTGGGAAAGAAAGGGGCTCTCATTTTATGAGCTTCCAGAGCCAGCAACAGTTTCTAAGCTATTGCTCTTGCTAGCAACACAGTAATGTTTGCCTCCAGGAGAGAAGACAACAGTAAACCTCTGTTGAGTTGAGAAAGACAACAGGACCTTATTTCTAAACATCTTAAAAAATAAATATTGCAAAAACATGCTTATATCTAAGACACAGCAAAGTTTCATCAAATGGCCTGGACCGGGAACCTCAGCCAGAAATAAATATCTCTGTGACCCCCCTTGGAAAGATGAAGGCCAGGCTTTGAAAGGTCTTCAGGTATTCCACGATTTGGCCTACGTGTAGCTGAAGGCCTGTCCCTAATGCTTCTCTTCTTAGGGGAAAAAAAAATTCAATCATCACTACATGTTTAACAGAGTAACAGTCTCTAAAGGCGACATTTACAAGATGAACATTAGCGTACATCATTCTAAAGGTGAACTGGGGTACCCATGCAAGCCACATTGCTACAGATAATTTGTAAAAACAACTCATGGACTTGCATTGGTCCCGTGTGCTCCACTTCGGATTCTTTGTTTTGGTAACAACACTAACTGAAAGCAATGGATAAAGAACTGAGATTTTGTTTTTGTATGACTGAGCAAAATCTCATCACAGCCTTGCTGACCTCTTGGATGGGTTTCCACCGGACAGACCTGTGGGGGCTTTTGGGACAGAACTCACACGACAACCTCAGAAACAAGAGCACAGACAACTCACAAGACAGTACTGGGCCACGAGCACTAGAGTAGAGCACAGGATACACAGAAAAATTAGCATTCTGGGTGGTACTCATCTGGCAGAAAGGGGAACATTTTTATGCCCACGAAGCAAAGACCAGTGAGTATCATTTCACAGAAGGGTGCAAAGGCATGATGTCTAATGCAGCACCCTCTAAAAAAGATTCTAAATGCTGGGGAAGCAACATGGGGTGCATAGCCCATGCATCTCTCTCTCCCTTGTGGGGCTGGGCCTACTCCTTATGCCATAACCCTAAGGTGCCCGAACTGTGTCAGAGGCACAAGATGCAACCCAGCAGTGTGGGTTTGAGGGTGACAAGTCCTCTCGGCTAATGTAGGGAATCATTTAAACTTAGTTCACTCGGTGAGCTCCTGCTCATGTTCGTCAGGCTTGCCATGAGGGATTTAACTTTATGGGCATAGTAGTCCCTTAAATTGACAGAAGGGACCTCCTTCATTCCATCTCCAAAGTCACAGCTGCGCATGGCACTCTCCAGTTGCTTTTGGCGGCGGTAAAAGTGGGAGAACTTATTGAAGATTAAGGTGATGGGCAGTACCACCACTAGGATACCAGCCAGGATGCAGGCAGAGGCGGTCAGCTTCCCCGCCGTAGTTCCCGGGACCACATCCCCATATCCCACAGTGGTCATGCTGACGGTGGCCCACCACCAGCAGGCAGGGATGGTGGTCAGGCCCTCGTTCTCCTCCTTTTCAATGGTGTAGGCCACGACGGAGAAGATGGAAATCCCCACAGAGAGATAGAGCAAAAGCAGCCCGACTTCTTTGTAGCTGTATTTTAGGGTGGCCCCCAGGGAGCGGAGGCCAGTGGAGTGTCTAGCCAGCTTTAGGATGCGGAAAATCCGCATCAGCCTCAGGACCTGGGCCACCCTGCCCAAGTTGGCCAAGGTAGGTGTGCTCTCCACCACCAGGTTCACCACCAAAGTGATGTAAAAGGGGACGATGGACATGAGGTCAATTAGGTTGAGGGCATTCTTAAAAAATTTGAGGAAGTCAGGGGCCACAGCAAACCTGGCCACCAGCTCAAATGTGAACCAGGCGATACCAAAGTGCTCCACAATTTCGAACCTGGGGTCCTCCCCCGGGTTGCCCTGGCTGTCAGGTATCTGGAAATCTGGCAGGCTATTCAGGCACATGGTGATGATGGACCCCAACACCACCAGGATGGACAAGATGCTGAAGACCCTGCTCAAGACTGAGTAGCCAGGGTTGTCCAGCGCCAGCCACAGCTGCCTGCGGAAGTTGCCCAGCGGCTGCCCATCGAACTTGGAGGCGTCGTTGTAGAACGCCAGGATCTCATCAAAGGAGGAAGTGGTGCTTTCTTGGTCGCTCTGCTCGTCCCACTTCTCCTGCTCTGGCTCCACTTTGCGGCCATGGTAGCTGTAGCTACAGCAGGAGTCAATGAAGAACTCGTTTATGCCCCAGTACTCGATCTCCTGGCTGAAGGAGAAGACACACAGCTCGGCCATGACGTGAAGCTTGCCCGTGTGGTAGAAATGCAGCACGTAGGGGAAGAGCTCAGGGTTGCGGTCGAAGTAGAACTCACGCTGGACATCGTCGTAGTCATCGCAGAGCTCCAGAATGGCCTCGCGCGAGTGGCAGAGGAGCAGCCGGCCCAGGCGCGTCTCAGGGAAGCGCAGCAGGGTGTGCGAGCGCAGCCGCCTCTTGAAACCTCCTACATTGATGCGGATCTCTCCGTCTTCGACGTTGGCCTCAGACACGTCCCACAGACTCTGGCGGGTCATGCTGGAGACGCCCGAACGCCCGTGCCGCGCGGGGGCGCTACACCTGCAGGAGGAGGAAACCACGTCTTGTGAGCGCCGAGCGCCCGCAGCCGGGGCGCCCCTTTCTTTTCTCCCCACCCGTCTCTGGCGAGCCCCAGTCCTCCCCGGGCGGGTCTCTAGGGTCTGAGGGCGCTGGGATAGGGGGAAGGTTCCATGGGGTTTGGCCCCTTCCCAAAGAAACGCTAGGGAGGAGAGGGTATATTTTCAGTAGCATGGCCGCGCCTCCACCTCCTCCGGGGGGGGGGGGGGTCCTGTCGATCGCTTTACGCTTGCGGGGGGTCGCCCTCCCCGCCTTTGAGTGCCCAGTGTGGCTGAGAGCTGACCTTGCCCGTAGGCGGGCGTAGGAGACGCCCCCGCCCGCTCGCCGCAGACATGCGGGACTGTACCTGGGATGCGCACGGGCAGGGCTGGGCCGAGATGGGGGGCGCGCAGCTTCGGGGGGGGGGGCGGGGAAATACACCAATCGTGTTTGTAAACCCGGCCTCTGGGTAGGGGGCCAGCCTGGCGTCCCCTGCGTCCAGCCCTCAAGACTGGAGCCCCCTCGCCCCCAGCCCCGGGCCTCCCCGCCCGCCTGGCGCGGTGCCCCGGAGCCGCGTGCGCCGCACCTTACCCGGCGGAGCTGCCAGGGCTCGCCCTGCGCGTTCTGGAAGAGCTTACCTGCGAGCACGGGGACCCGCGGCCGAGGCCCGCGGGAAACTTCCCCGACCTGCTTGTTAGCATCGCTGCGGTCGCCGCTGCTAGCTGGCTGTGCGTGTGCGCGCGGGTGCGAGTGTGTGTGCGCCTGTGTGTGCGCCCGGCGGGTCGGCGGGCGGGGTCCGCCAAGCGTCTCCTCCTGTCTCCGGCCGGAGATGCCGCCGCCGCCGCCCGCAGTTGCGGGAGGCTCACAGGTGGCTGCTTGGCCCCGCCGCTTGCAGAGCCCCCTTCTCTCGATCCGCATGCCCTCAGCCCCGGAGAGAGACAACAGCCCGCGCCGCAGGCGCCAGCGGGAGCCGGAGCAGGAGCGGAGCCGGTGCACCTCGACTTGGCCCTGCGCTGGGGCGCAGCGCCGTGGTGCTGAAAGGACAGCTCCACGCGCCCCACCACCGGGCGCGGCCGCCGCCCCAGACTCGGGAGATGCAGCTGCCGCCGCGTCGGCTTCGCGGCTCTCCTCGGGCGCGTCACCGCGACCCCTCTGCGCCCCCGGCTCGATACATGGCCGGCACCTTTCCCATCCCTCGGTGACAGCTGTTATTGCCACTCTCCCTCCTCTCAGGGTGCAGGCAGGGGACTGCCTACGGTGACCTTTTCCCACTGGGTGCCGGGCTAGAGTCTAGCTGGGGAAGGAGGGGCCGCTTGCCTGAGTCTGGGGGAAAGGCAGGGCTCGAGGAATCCCGGCTTTCCCCTTTTGGGGACCTGAGGCAAAGTTTCCTGAAGCTTGGGGTGGGCTTTGGGGAAAGGCAGTGGGAGGGAAGGAAAGGAAAGGGATAGGGAAGCCTGAGGTCAGTTCATCTCAGCTTGCCAGGGGTGGCATCGCAGGCACCACTCCTGGGAAGGAGTCAAGTAGTTCTTTGGGGGAATTCTGTATGGGCACCCTGTGTGTAGTGTACAGGCTGGTGTGTTGTGCAGGATTTAGAGGATGATAGTGAGCTCTGTGTGTGTGTATGTGTGTGTGTGTGTGTAGTCCAAGGACAGTAGGACTTTTTAGTGTCTGCATGTGTAGCGTTGATAAAAATGGAACCTCTGAAGGGTGAGGAGGTGTGTACAGTACGCCAGAACAGGCGAACCTAGGGCATGTCAGTGATGCCTGTTACAACTGGTTACTGTATGCAGCCGGCTGTATGCAATGTAGTATTCAGTGGCACTGAGACGGGATCTGTGTGTGATAAAATGAGCACTGTGTGCCTGTGGACACAGTGGGGACCGTGCAGCCGTGGATCTGGTGGAGATGTGCTCAGTATCTGTGTCCGCATTCCCTAAGAGACTTGTGGCCCAAATCTGAGGTCTTGGTCTTCAAAGATTGCTCCTTAAATCACTGCCTGTTGCCTGAGTTGAGACATCAACCCACAGTCTCTGGGGAGCCCCCTCCCTTTAGTCTTTCAGCCCTTTTCATAGACCCCATTTGCAAAGACTGGAGCACCATGTGAGTTAGCAGGGAGCTAGTGGGCTACAGGCTGGGTCAGAAGTACTGGAGAAAGTCCTTGTGGTGGGGCTCTGGACCCACAGGAAAACCAGTCCAGCAACAGGGAAAGCACATCCTCTCTGTATGTGGGCCTGGCCATGCTGTCCCATCTAGACAGGTGCTCTGGGAAGCGCCAGTGCTTTGCAGCTCCCTGGATGGCCCGGGGAAGCCCCCTGATCTGGCTTTATATGGGGGTTCCTGAATCCAAGCCTGCCTTCCCTTACAGGAGATTGTCCTTGTGCCAGCCTCGCTGGCCTCCGGGTATGAGGGCGGGAGGTTGGGGGACTGTGTGCAGTGTGGGGCCTGCTGAGAGGGTCCCCTGGCCGTGTCCCTGTACCATCTGCAAATGCAAGGAGTTCCAGGGAGGCCAGCAATTGTGGTGGGGTAGCGGGGGGCGGGGAGAATAAGGTGGTGAGGGCCTCATGAGCATCCTTTCTCTTGTGTCTGATGCTTTTAAAAGAGGAGTGTGTTGGGGCGCCTGGGTGGCTCAGTGGGTTAAGCCGCTGCCTTCGGCTCAGGTCATGATCTCAGGGTCCTGGGATCGAGCCCCGCATTGGGCTCTCTGCTCAGCGGGGAGCCTGCTTCCCCCTCTTTCTCTGCCTGCCTCTCTGCCTACTTGTGATCTTTCTCTCTGTCAAATAAATAAAAAAAATCTTTAAAAATAAAATAAAAGAGGGGTGTGTGTGTGTGTATGGGGGAGAGAGAGAAAGAATCTGGTATTTGTCCTCTTTGTCTCCATCTCTGTTTCTGTTGAGGTCTGCGAGTTTGGAGCATGCACACCTCATACATCCCCCTCCCCCACCTAGGTCTGTTGAATCTATCCTTTGAAGTCTGTGGCTCCCTCCACACCTGGCTAACTTACAGTCTGGAGGCCCCTGGGTCTCCTTTACCCCCATGGGAGTGCTGCTGAGAGTGTGCTGAGGGTGTGTGTGTGTGTGTAAGGACATGCGTGATTGCTGTGTTGCTGCCTCTTTTAATCTTTCACCCCCTCCCACACCTTGGGGACAGTGGTAGCTATGAGATCTCCCTGCTGCAGGTGTCCTTCACAGTAGCACCTGTGGGCTGGCTCTGTGTGCTCTGTGGCTTGCTCTAGCCCTTGGCTCCCATCCCCACTGGGTGCTGCCTGGCTTCTGGCCACCCCAAAGCTCACAGCCCCCATTCTGCTGTGTGGTTTCTGCTGCATGGCCACTGTTCCCAGCCACTCCCATTCCCTTGGTCTCGCTACTGACTCTCCCTGGTTTAGCTTAGTGTTTAAATCACCTTCTCTTGTCGAATTAGGAGGTCCCCTCTCTCCGGAGAAAGGCTTGGGCTTGGTAACTCTGGGGTTCTCTTCCCTCCCCTGCTTTATTTATCTGCCTGCCTCCTTCTGTTCCTGTCTGTTTTTGTTCTTGCTCATTCCTTCTTCCTTTATGTTCATGGGAGATTTCACTCCATGGGCCCATGATGTGAGAGTCCCCTCTGCATTCTTTTTCTCTTTGTTTCTCCCACACCCATGACCACCCTACCTGTGCTCTGCCCAGGCCCATTGGGCTTTCACTCATCGCGGTTCTGTACCCGACTCCCACCTGCCCCCTTCCTCCTTCCTCCTTCCCATTCCCCTTCCTTTCCTCCCTCTCCACCACTCTCTTGTCCACTTCCTCAGCCCACAGAGCTGTGCCAGTATGTCCCCAGCTTCTTGCCAGCCTAGTGCTCATTCCTGCCCTCTGTTAGCATTTGCCTGGGGTCAAGGACAAGCCCCCACGCCCACCTTTCCTTAAAGGGAAAATGAACTTGAAGGCTGCAGAGAGAAGCCCAAGTTTGGGCATCTCAGTTATTTCTTGGAAAGGCTGAGGCAGGAGCTCTGCTTGTCTGACAGGTGCCTTTGCAGAGGGTTAAGTGTATGTGACAGGGAGAGCCACTTGTTTATTTCCCAGCCACCGTGCTGAAGAGAGATGGAGCCGTCTGCCTCCTTCCGTACCAGGGAAGCCGGCTGTGTTTATGGTTTATTTAGAGGTCTGAGCCCTGATCTTAAAATATAGCCGCCTGCTCCAGGCACACATCAAAGCCTGCCTCTGGGCTGGCCTGCTCGGGAGATCCTGAAGGGGCAGAGGGGAGGTGGGAGAGGCACCCTGGGAAGGGGGACAAAGGGACCCCCAGGCAGTGCCCTAGATCCCTGCACCTGGGTGACTATTATCTCTGCCTCCCCTGCCAGCACTGATCTCTCAGTTGAGCCCACACATCTCAGAGTTGGCTTTTTTCTCTGACAGGCGAGGGGGCTGCTCGGGCGGCTTGGCTGAGGAAGCTGGGCTGCCTGACCTACATTCCCCACTGCAGAGGAGCTGAGCACTGCTCCTCTCCCCGGGGTGCCTGGCATCCCCCCTCCACCCCCAGAACAGACTATTCACCTGTGTCCATCCTGCCCCTTACCAGCCACCCTTCCCGACACAGGCTGGTTCTCTTAAAGACACAAACCGTGTCATGTCTTTCTTTCCTAAAAACCTTTCAGGGGCTCCCTATCAAACTGAAAACAAGAGCCCCTTCCTTACCACAGTCACCAGACTCTCCATGCTTCACCCTTGCCCAGCTCACAGACTTCATCCCACTGCTCTTCTCTACCAGTTACACTCTAGCCACATGCTCCTTTGCTCTGTGCACAGGGCCTTTGCACCTACTGTTCTCTCTGCTTGTCACAGCAGCTTGACATAGTAGGCTTCTTGTCACTCAGGTCTTGCATTAAATGTCACCTCCTCAAAAAGGCCCAACTGCCTGATTCAAACTGGATCCTGCCATCAGTTTCTATTGTTTCTTACACAGAATTTACATTAAACTGTTACTGAATATGTGATTGAATGATGAATGAATGAGGCTTTAGCTCCTACGTTAATGTTGTTCTGTGCTAGCCTGAGTCTAGGCCCCGCCTCTTCTTCTGATGGATCAAGAAGGCAGCTGGAAAAGGAGATGGTTTGGGGACCCCAGACTCTGGGGTGCTCTCCCAAGTAATTGGTTAGACTAATGGGTCTCATCCCTGGCTGCTCATTCGAATCACTCAGGAGCTTTTAAAAGAGCCAAAGCCCCCA